GGAAGTGTGTTTCTTCTCCACTTTGTCCTACCTGTCGGATCAACGAAACGATACAACATTATTTATTAGATTGCACTGTTTATAAACGGGCAAGAAGACAAATGAGGAAAAAATTGAGCTTTCTAACTCAGTTTGACGTTAAGACATTGCTATTGTATGAGACTGATAGAGATGAAGGTCAGAGATTGATTATTTTCAATTCGGTCGCTGAATTTATTGAGAAGACGAGGCGTTTCTAGTCCTCGACTTTCGCCCTTTTCGTTTTCATTTTTATTATTGATTATTATTTAAACTGGCCGAGTGATCTACCCCTATCGCTTCTTGTTTTTCCGTATCTTCTTCACTGCTTTCTTCCATCTCTTCTTTTTTTTTATTTTTCCTTTTATTTAATTTGCTATGCGCTGTATGGCTTCGACCGCTTGTGCTACTCTCCATTCTTTAATAAAAGCTTAAACTAAGAACTCATCAAACAACAAAAGATGAATTTCTCGTTTGTCCCGGGATAGAAAACTTGTATTGAATGAGCACTTGTACGACTCAGAAACCTCACACAATTCTTCGTACAAGTATCCACATTACATGATATTCATCCACATCATCTACTTAGAGAACAAATTAGATGCTAGGTATTTTTTTGCAAACGCTCAATATAATTTCCTCAGTATTATATACAAATTATCAGTAAACAGATCAAACTATGTCAGTTTTTGAAAACCAAATTTTGCCACGAGATTCTTAATTATAGAAAAGAATTTACGTAAAATCATTTTACGTACAAACAGCGAGCTTTCGCCACTATCACTATCACCTGATGATGAAGTGTCGAAAGCTCGCTGTTTGTATGTAAAATCATTTTACTTAAATTCTTTTCTATAATTTTGAATATACTATATTTCTATATTCAAAATCCTATGCAATTATTGTGACTGAAACAACATCAAAGAATACTGAATGGCAACGTGTAGTTGAATATCTTCTTTTAAAACATTCACAAGCGTTACTCATTGTCTACAAAGACAATGACTTTCTCCAACTACGCGATCAATTAAGATAATTATCAAATTTATCAAAATATACTGGTTTCATTTGTCAACCGACAGAATGCGGACGAAATTTTATTGCAACTATTCATCGTCTTCTACGTACATTGGATACGTTCACACCTTACCTAGATGCCATGTGGAGTATAGTTACTGGCAGTGATGTTTCATTGGCCATCGAATCAGTTAAAACAACAACTACATCAGATGAATTAATTGTTACGAAAGGAATGAATTTTACATATGTTAATCAAGATCTATTTGAGGCATTTTTCACATTTGGAGATGACAGAAATGGACATTGGTATTCGAAGTTATTTGGAGATGAACGAAGTGGTAAGAATGACCATACTGACTTTGTATTACACTAGCTTACAACTCGTTTTTATCTTATTCTAATAAGTAACGAATATCTGAAACATCCAGCTACACTTTGGTGTGAAATGTTTAATGATATTCAATCAGATCTGTTAATTACATCGGGTCATGGTAACGAGTACTCATTAGAATTACCGTTTAGTAATGATGTTTTATGTCCTGTAGCTGATACATCATGTCTATGTGCAATGAATAATCTGAAAGAGAAGAAACTTTTATACATGATCCAATGTCTTCCAGTCCGAATCCAAAAGTATTTTTACCAATAGGAAACTGTCTAATGGGTTATTTGGTTACACGGTATCGACATGGTTCGGAAGAGGAGGATGGAATGTGTTAAAGAAATGGACTGCTAAGCCAGATATTACAAAAGAGTGTCAATGAACATTCTTAATTTTTGAAGTTAAAGAGCTTCTATTTTGAAAGTGTTCATCGGTAACATAACTACACTTCAAAAAGCGTTCTTGGCCCCCAATTGCAACGATTTCGTTCAAACAGAACTTGATGTCGTCTGGGCAACTGTGATATGAAAGGTTTGTATTGTTCCAAACTTTGACAACTCTCTGTATATAGTGAAACTCCTCCAATGAAGGCGATCTTATATGAAATATAAGAAGAGGAGCCAAAGTTGAAGGTAACACAAACTGTGATTCACGGTTCTATGAAAGCCACACAGATCTGTCAAACGCGGATGGTACAGACACGATGGTCTAACACATGGTCAAAATTTTGAACATCTATAGTAATCCAAATAGAGACGAAAGTCCACGTTATTTTTCTTTTACCCAAATCATATGAAAACTACCCACTTTTTATCCGCAACGATTCCAGCCGAGAGACCGCGATATTCGGATCGGGCATGTCGAGAAACCTTTTTCATCTAAGTTTGAGCTTGAAGGCAGGCAAAAAGTTTCAATCGAAATTTTTGGCTGAGGTCCTTCCCCCTTAGGTGTTTTGCCTAAAATTTTGGACGAAAACTTTTTTTTGCGAAACATATGAAATTATATATCATTCGATGCAGGATTTTTTGCGTAGATTCCGAATATCACGTTGGTTTTGCATAAAAATGCTTCTGAACGTTTAAAAATTAAGTTTTTCACTTTTTCCGTTCTGCATATATAAGTTCGTGTACACTGTGAAAAAGAGAAACTATATTTTTTTCTTCTTTCTTTTCTCTCTTCCCATATGGTAAAACACGTTCTTATTTTTCTAGCGTGTTATCGATATAAGAACATTTATTTAGTCGATTTTTATATTTTGTGATTTCAGTGAGAAAAGGTCTCACTCAATCACATAGAGTACTTCGGAGTAATTAGAGGCACTCTTCGAAAGTTTCTTCCTTTTTTCGCTATTTCTTGGCCGTTTTTGATCGAAAAAAGTTGCCATTGAACATGATGGTAGACCAAACATTTTTCTACACGCTCATGTAAAAATCTTTTCAAAAACGCCGGCCAATTTTGAGCCAGATCCAAAATGCGAAGAGCTCCATCAAAGTGCCTCTAGTTACCTCGTACGGGGTAATTAGAGGCACTTCACTTATATGCTTGGGGTAAATAGAGGCACTCCATTCAAATACATGGAGTTTTAATGTACAATTGCTGGTTAATTAAGCTTAGGAGATAATTAGTTCAAAAATACCTCATTTTGTAGCCCAGATCTTCCTCTCTCTACCATATAGTTTTGAGCTCATTATCATTTAAACTCATTAAGCTGATTACCATATAATCAACAGCACTAGAATTTTTTTTTTTCTTTTTATGCTTTGGGGTAAATAGAGGTACTCGTGTAATTTCTTCGGGGTAAATAGAAGCACTCCTCTGAAATACACGGAATGGTCAGAGAGAAACCTTTACCGACTCTCAGAAGCCGAATTTAGTATTAGACCAAGTGACAAAGTTCTTCAGACTGCTGAACTCTATCACATACGTGAAAATTAGCTCATTATTCCAGTGGATTAGCTATCATACTGGCTTCTCACTATGTACGATATTAATTTGAATGTATCTTATAGGCTAAATTAATTTTAAAATTAATTATGACACCTAGATACAAAAACTTTTGATAAAATCCTCTGTCTATAGCTTACATAAGCATCACCTCTATCAAATGCAAAACTAATCATCTGCAATTATGAGAACTACGCAAGATAACACCAAATTATCCGACATATGTCTCCTCTGAATGAAACATACAATACGATATCAACTGAAAAAGGAGAACGAAATGGAAAAGATGTTTGCTGAATACCATTCGATATAGGCAACTGAAATTCCTTGGTCATATAATCCGTAAACGTTGGTTACGTATTGATATACGTAAACGTTTGATATTCAGCTTTCGAGTATTCGCCTATTCGACTTTTCACTTTCAAGTATTCGACTACACGATTATTCGACTTTTCGCCTTTTGACATTCAAGTTTCGACTTTTTCATCATTCGACTTTTCACTTTCAACCATTCACCTATTCCATTATTCGACTTGTCACTTTCTCCTGTTCGACTATTCGACAATTTGACTTTGCACTTTCCACTACTCGGCTATTCCATTATTCGACCTTTGATATTCATCTTTCAGCTATTCGACTTTCCGATTATTCGACTTTTCATTTTCAACTATTCGACAATTTCACTATTCGGCTTTTGGTATTGAGCTTATGACTATCCGACCGCCTTTCTTTTTATCGAACTTTCACGTCGAAAGCTTACTAGGAATTTTACCACAAAATTACACTCAACGAAATTTTTCGAAATATATATCATTCCAATCGGTTCTCGACGCTGACTCCGAATATGATACTTTTATTGCATAAAAGTTGAGTTCCGATGAAGAAAATGGCGAAGTACGAGCAGAATTCCGAGTTTTCCGCTCCCAGTTTGGAAAAAACGAATTTTCGCGGTAAACCAAGTAAAATGGAATAAAAGCAATAAGTACTTTTAAACCTCGTTTAATGTCGATTCTAATCAAGTAAACAGATAAATAAATAAATGGAATAAAAAAGTCTTACTCGAACTTTGAATTTCCGGCACCTTCTATAATACATATACTCTACAAATTTTTTATTTCTAATAAATAATCATAAAATTCTTTTGGTTTAACGACTATTTCATTACTATCAAAAAGAAATTCTAAAATTTTAATTTTTTTAAATATTTGAAATAAATCCATACCATGAAAACTATTTGTTATTTCTAATAGGTTTTTATAATTTGGTAATTTTAATTCTTTAATATTTGGCATTAATAATATTACATATTTACATAATAAATTATTTTTTATATAATGTATATTTAATATTTCAATACGCTCACATATTTGTTCTTTATATCGATTATTATTTAAATCAAAATTATCTAATAAAAATACACGATGAATTGTTATTTCATTAACATTAATAAAGAAATTTCTAATATAACTAAATATATCTGATGAATACGATGAAAGATCAGGATCAAAAACAATATGGTTTACATTTTTCCAAGTTTCAATTAAATTTTTATTGTCACTATTAGTTTTATATTGTAAAAAGTTTGAAGATAGTGACAATCGTTCAAATTGATATGGTAATGAAAATAAATAATATCTTACTGAGTTCTAAACCAACTGAAAATGAATCCCATGTTGATAAAATACTATTTGTACACCTATCAAGATCGTTATTAGTTAAGCAAATATGAAATTTAAAATCATTAATTAAGATTCTTTGTTTTAGATAATGGCCATTTAATAGATCAATATCATTGCTGTTATTACCTGATATATTTAACCTTAATTCTTTTAAATTTGTAAAGGAATGTATCAATGGGATTAATTCCGCTGTATATCGATAGGAAGAACAATTATTCTTGTTTGAAACCGATTGACAGGATCCAGATATCATAAATGTGAATTTAGATAAATTAAAACACGAGTCTGTTATTTGTTCATAATTAATTCCTAAAACAAATAGCAAACATGTTGAAAAGTAAACTCAGGTCACAATTTAAACTAACCCATAAATTCTGAAAAGAATTTGTGAAAATCAAATACTTTAAAATTTTTCTAAAGTGACCACTTTATTCATTGCGAACAGTCTAGAGTCTAACAGACCGTTTTCTGCTCCAAATATACACTTCTCTAAAGTGAACATCTCTCTATTCTGAACAGTGAAGGCTTTTTTCAGTATTGAACGTAACCTGTCTAAGGTGAACAGACATGGGATATATTAACGAAAGAAAGAAATGGAATAAACAAAATGCAATTCAATGAGAGTTAATATATCACCTGCAGGAGAACAGTTGTTCGAGACAAAGAAACTCTCTGTGCCTCTTCTCTCAGATCAGTAAAGCAAGCGAGTATCAATATCTGATGGAGTTTAATAATTCTATTTCTAAAGACTGGGCAACGATTTTGATATTAAGAATACAATAACTTTTGTAGGTGTATGAAGTAATTGTATTCTTAATGATTGTTTTGCTACAAAATGGTGCGTAGATATGAACTCACTTTAAACGAATCACTCGGCTTGATTCACGACTCTAATCATTACTTTTATCGTAAACTTGGCAATAAATGCAAAATTTCTATTGGTGCAGTCTCAAATATTTTAACAGCAAAACTCAATCTTTCAATTTGGTTGAAATTTGGTTAGATATCAGTATTCTATAGTGTATTTTGTACACAAGCGTTCGTTTCACACATTGATCCTAGTCTTACAAGTTCAAACAGATTTGGAAAAACGAGATATTTATTTTACCAGAAAAATTCTAATATTCGAAATTTTCCTGTATTAAACTTTTCTGTCGCATAAAACTTCCTCTCGAAAAACTGAGAAACATCAAGTTTTGTTTAGATTTTTCCACTCTTTCAAACGGTGCATCATTCAAAGAGTCTAAACAAAGTTTAGAGCCACGCTGTACGCAAAGAAAACGAGGATTTGTATATTTTTCAACGTTTTTCAAATCTCACAACTGCTACAGCTCTCAAAGTCTAACAATCTGTACGGCATTAATAGATAAGTTTCGTAATGGAAACCGTAAACGTCGCATAGAAAAAATAGATTCTTTTTCCGACATGTTATCAGCGACTTCTTCCTTATCCTTGTGGAATCTCTCTTGGTAACTTTCGAATAACGCGAACTATAGAGCGTCGAATTTTCAACGTTGTATAATCAACATCTTTTATACTTCTAGTAAAGCTTCTGAATATATTAGTTTTCCACATTAAAAAATTACCTTCGATGACATCCAATTGTAGACATTTAACATTTAAATCCG